TAAAATGAACAAATAACTCTCAAGATGTCGCTAAAAGTAGTATAACACAGTACTGTTTTGTACCCGTTTTTCTCTGCGAAGGAGTGAACATCACAATAGACATTTATACACCATTCGATAGCCCTTCTCAAGGGCTACATTTGTTTTTGAAAAAGGAGCAACTTCGATTTTTCACCTAATGTCCGCCTAGATGCCCACTGTGCTGGCCCCACTTGTCTAGATATTCTGACTAGTTCAGTTTGTAGAGAACTTCATGGGTTATCCAATGGCATTCTTTTGAAAAATATATAGTTTTTCAGCAAAACAGAAGAAACCTTCAAAGTGAATGTTTACGCCGACCGTTTACTTCGACTTTGGTCGCAAAACTTTCTGTAACAAATTTGCGTATCCCAAGGTTTTGACGGTGATTCCAGATAGTACACCGAGAGTACTATCTACTGCAAGTAGTCCGACTTCAACGTAAGTTCATAATAACGAGATCGATCGCTCACAAAAGTGCTCCATGAAGCTCCGTTTCGGTCTTGCTGTAATGTTTGGGGTGATAGGTATACGTAATATTTGTATGTCATTATAGGGTAGACATCAAGTGTTACCTACACTGAAAAAATCAAGGTTTCATCTCTTCTCATTCATGAGAAAAACGAAATGTACGTTTTTCACGCGTATAACTTCTCGAACTTTACTACAGTCGAAAAAATTTCATATCTACAGAACGAGAACTTCGAGAAGCCTAAAAATTTGGATTTATAGGTTTTCGAACATACTCTACAAGATGAGACCACTTAGAAAAAAATCTGAAATAGTCATTGAACTTGGCTTGTCGTGGCTTATGGACAATGGCTGCTAGGAGAGATCATACTTTACTTGTCACTGAAGTTAAAATGTTGGATTGACGCTAAGCAAAGACTTGAAGTGGAAATAAACACATTAAAAATACTGTCGTCAAATATAGAAAAATGCTAGAGCATGATAAATAGAATATTTTTCAAATAGCACGTTAAAAAGCATCTCAGTTGCGTTTAATGAGATGTTTCATTTGTAAAGATTTCACTTCTCCATTTGAGATTCTGATCGAATCTGATTGAGAAAATCTATCATTTTGTAAAAAAAATCTTAAATCACAAGTTTTTCTGACAATTAACCATTCTTCAATTAGATAGTTCTTTCCAGGTTTCAGCTGTTAAACATTGAAACAAGCAGATACCTGATCGTGGCTGTCGCTCGAGAACACCTTTTGCTGCACGGACTTGTACACAGGGTCATACATAGTGAGAACAGTAAAAGAGTGGAATAATTTTCTAAACAACATGCTATGCAGTGCCACACTCTTTGTGTTTTTGAATAGCTTCACAAGGGATTTCTTAAGCATAGTCCAAATGTAACCCATATTAAATTCGTACGCTCTCGTTTACCTTGTTTCTTTACACTCGCCGACAGAGTCAATTGACATCCTACAGAAAGTTCAAAGAAATCATGTTTAAAGTGAGCTAAATTTCTTTCTATCTAACTCTAATTATATTCTTTTTTTATTTCCGCCGTATAATTAAAATAAATTACAAAAGGATATTTATATTTTAAATAAGCATATTACAACTAGGACTATCAACCTGTAGTAAAATGACCTTAAAAAGTGAAAAGTATGTTTTTCATTCGCAAAGCGTATATAAAGAGAAATCTTTTAACATCAGCCCCGATAAAACTGATATACTCTCCGAACATAACCGAAATGTGTTAGAGAGAAACATCAACAGAAATTGAGAGAGTCGTTTCAAATCATAGTTTTAATGTGAGTTCAATAAAAAATAATATTTTGAAATGAAACATGTTGTTTTTATACGATTTTTGGTTCATATATTTTATCGTCTGTTATAAATATAAGAAAAACATACATAAAATTGTAAAATAGTGAAAAACAACAAACAGCGAATATGTGATTGTATCAAAATAAACGCAAGAAAAGAAAACGAGCAAAAAAGAACTGTTACAAGAATACATTATGCATTTAAAACACAAATTAGAGTAGTTGTCAAATTTAAATATATTATTTTATATTTTACTTTATTATAAACCTATAAACTATATAATAGATCTTGATAGACAACATGTTATGCAGGAAAATTACTGGAATTATATTTTTTAATCACGCGAACATCACACAGGTGGGAATATGAGAGTTAAATGCCATAAATAATCAACTGGTTTTTTGAAATTCTGTTAAATTTATTAAAAATCCGTTTGATTTGTATTATCGATTAATTTTGTATTGTGTCTTGTACTGGAATATTTGTACTAAAAGAAATATTATATTCGATGTATAACAAAAATAGAAAAAACAGATCCATCTCAACTGGTTTTTAATAGCTTCAACAATTAACATAATATTTTTTTTTTTATTATCTTTTCATTGTCTCTTAATCCTCAAACCAGTAAATGTTAAACCTTTTGAACGTAGTGGTTTCTACATGATATCTTTTTCTGATATCGAATATGATCTACTCAGATTTTATATAAATAAACATACCATTTGCTCTTGTAATAATCTTATTGTATTTTTGTCTTGTTCTTTTTCTTTTCGTAATGTAACAATTTCCTATAACAAGTCAAAATAACGTATTTTATGGATGAAATATATCGTTCATTCAACTATTTACTTTTAATAAATCGTCATATGGTGTGTTTGTATCATCTGTTGATGATGATAAACGAAGATTGTTTAATGTTCGTTTTGAATTTGACATTGTTGATGATTGTAAATCACCTCCATGCCAAGAATTGATCATAGAATCCTAAAGATGAATATTTAAAAACAAAATTATTTCATATTCATCAAAAATATCGGACAACTTACACTTATTAATGGATTAACATCAACATCATTTTGTTTTAAAAGACGATCTAATTGATGAAGAATGGTTTTAACAACAGTCACATCTTTCATCACTTGTCTAGAGTAAAAAGAAATAGAAATAGAAAATATTGTAAATAAATTTGAATTGAAGAGAAATAATTTGTATATACCGATATGATTCTATGTCCATTGGAATCTGTTCAGCATCCTCTAATGGTGGTAATAAACTTGGAGGTTTCAAAGATACAGATCGTGTCATAAGTTTATTGCTAAAAAAAAGAGCCAATCAATATTATGAATCTTAATAGATAATACATTACATTCAGCTTCTATACTAAATATAAATCATACCTTCCACTTAATCGTGTCAATTCGTCTAACGATTCTAATAAACTTCCATCGCGATTATCTTTTTGTGAATAACAAGCTGGTATTGTTGACGCGCGTTTACCTTTTCTATCGTCAATAATCGATTTATGGTGTACAAATGATGACGGTGAATTGTTTGAAATCGGTGATGATAATAAAAGATTAGACGTTATAGAGTAATCATCTGACTTATTATGTAGTACAGTCGATAGTAATGTTGATGTTTCTTTTTCTATTGGACTATTTTCATTTAATTGCTGCTGTTGATCAATTGACAACGATGAACAAGAGTTTATTCGATCACTAAAATAGAAAATTTTTCTGAGAAACATAGAAAAAGAAAAGAGAATAGATATGGTAGTATAGACCATATATTCTCTTGAAATATTACACGTTGAAAAACACCTTTATCTATCAGCTATAATGTTTAAGAGAAAAAAAAAAGAGAAGAAAGAGAACATACTTTTTTGTTGATGGTTGCGATGAATCCATCGTTAACGTATCATCAAAGTCGCACATTAAATCTTTCGATTTTAATGAACAGTTGTCATCATCCAAAATATCGTGATTTAATATATCGGATATAGCTGATGAAGAATCAAACGATAATGTACTTATTTCATCATTTTGTGGACGATTAGTAACAGAATTTGTACTTGGTTTAACAAATGATAATGTTAATGGAGATGCTACACTCGATATTTGAGCCTGTAGTTGAGAAGAAGAAATACTGTTATGAAGACTAGCATAAGCTGAATCAGATGAACGCCCACGAGGTATAAATGACTGTTGAAATTCAATAATAGATGATTTAGACGCATCGTACTAAATGAAAAAAACAATAATAAGCCATTTATAATGGAAGTAATCACATGAAAACGAGATTGATATCATGAAAAGTATTAAAGTTCACATTCAAATCCTAATAGAATCGAATAAATAGAAAAGTTTTACGGATGAGTCTTGGTATTTGGAGTGCACCGTCAGAAAGAGATTTTTACATGAATCAATCGACAAATTTGAACTATCTACTAGTATCGTTTCAAGAAAAATGCTTTTTTTATTCATCGAAATTATTCCGAAAATACAACGTCCTAACATCTTTAGTTTTGATTTATTCTATTCAAGGTTTTTCTGACAAGAATATATTTATTATTTTTTTGAGGTTTTTATCGTTAATCTCTTTGATGTTTTTACTAGAGAGTTTATTAGTTACATACTCGATGATTATTTTGTATTGTAGTAGATACTTGTGGAATAAGATTTTTATTCACGTCACCGGTATTTGATACTATAGTTTTATTATGATCATTCTCGTCTAATGTTAATAATTCAAAATTTGTATTTCTATTTCTATATGCACCCTCTATAGGAATTGATTCTGATTGAACAGGCGATTTTGAGTAAAAAATTTTTCGCTTTTGTTCTTTTACTTTATCTCTTAACGAATTAACATCTTGTTGTTGATGTTGCTGTTGTTGTTGTGTCTGAATAGGGCGTATAGTATTTGGTGATATGGCTCGTGGTATACCTGTTTTTGATGGTGTTCTTGGCGATAAATGTGATGGTGAATTTGTTTCTTGAAGAGTTTGAGATGGAGCTCTTGAAGAACGTGTGAAGTTTGCCGGTATCGTGGATGTTAATGGTGAAGATGATTGTTGTAGAATTTGTTTAGTACTGACTAGATCACGATCAGACGCGGGTGTTATACGTATATTTGACGATAACGGTTCTGTACGACTATTAATTAGTCTTTCATTTGAATTTGTCTGTTTACTATAAGGTGAATATGATTGAGGTATATGTTTATTTGATGATGCTTTTGTCGTTCGTATAATTTGCGATTTATTGTTTGATGTAGTCGTTTTTGATTGTATTTGCCCATTTTTCAAATCTTTTGACGTGACGGGAGACGATGAGGTAATCAATGTCGGACTCACAGAGCGGCTACGACTATTTGTTGTTGATGGAGAAGTGGGTGTATTCGATGGTTTAAATCCAAATCTGGAATGAAATGTCATTGGTGGCGCAGAACGTTTATACTCTGAATTATTTGTTGTTAATCCGTTTGACATTTGTTTAGGACCTGAAATTAATTGAAAAATGTCTTTTTAATTAAATTTTATGTACATTATTTATTTTCTAATTTTTGTATGTATGTAAAAAATCTCTTCGCCTGCTGTAAATGAAAGTTTGCTTTCATATTTCAAAATATTATCATTGGAAAAAAACAATAACTTTTTGTTCAAACTTGAATTTGTTAGAGAGAAGAACTAATTAACTATCATAGTCGCTGCTAAATGGATATAAGGAATGACACTAATTAAATATTTTTATCATCAAAATCCTGTGACTAGACAGATATGTAAGACTGGTAGGAAGAAGTTTTTTGAAATTATTGAAAATTTTGCTTACTTTTACTCATTTTTAAAAAACCAATATTTGAAATTTTTCTAATAGAAAAATATGTTTTAAAATTATGAAATTTTCTTTTTCTATGTAACTCGATACGCTCTATCCAATTATGATGAAAAAATCGAAAAAAATAAAAATATGCTCGATTTTTGAATTTGCCAACACCTTAATTACTCCTGTTGACATTCAACAGATGAGCATAATGATTTGTAAACTATTTTATTTATTTTGTATTTATTTTATTTCATCTTTCGCCATACATTCATGACAACATAATCCAACTTACATTTAATTTTTATAAGATAGAAAATAGACTGTAGACGAGAAATAAGTATTGTATTAATTGTTTTTCTCGCTGGTTATTTTCTTTTATTCAAGTATAAATACAGAATTCTACTATGAAATCTATCCATTCTCTTCTATTTTTCTCTTGTTTCTTTTTCTTTTCTTTGTTTTTTTCTTCTTCTAAATAAGGGGACATTTTACATTTAGACATTGTGATTCATTGTTCAACGAATCGATGTTTGTCGCCTTGAATTTAAAGACAATGTTACAAAAAAGACAAAGAAGAAAAAAAAGAATTTTGTTTCTCAATGACGATGACTCAGTTTCAAAAGACAGGTAAGATATAGGATACGAATGGAACAAAAAGAAAAAGGAATAAAAGAAAAATAAAATTCGTGAAATAACTTGAAACAGTGGAAAAAGAAAGAAACGGACTAAGTACTACGTCTATTCCCGGTACTATATCCTCATTTTGATTATTATATTGTTCTAGTTTACTAATAGTAAAGTCAATGGTGATATGTAGGAATGAAAAAACTGCCAACAAAACGATAGAGGCGAAAAATAATGTGTATATCAACAGAAAGTTCAAAGGTTCAGTTTTTGTGAGGAAAAAAAATTGGGAAAATGATTTTACATAAAATGTCAGAAAAAATGAAAAATGATGAACGAGATTTTTACGATAAATATCAAAAAAGCTTAAGTTAAATAGAAAGAAAAGAGAGGAAATTATTTTTCAAGCTCTGCGTCAATTCATCTTAAGAAAAGAATAATTTTTTTTGACACTTTTCTTGTGAGAACATATACAATGACTCATTTAATATAATAGTGATAGGTAAGCACTTAAATAACAAAGATTAAAGACAGCTTATTTTACAACTAATCATTTGAACTACTGTCGTTAATACATTCTTTATTTCTGCATTAAAGAAACATTAAAGTTAAAGTTTCGAACTGCATAGGTTTATCCAAGATGTATGTCATTACTTTTTCTTAAAAAGTATCTGCAAACATGTATCAATATGATATGTTTAAAAATGCTTGTAATATTCTTTTACCTGTGTGGGTGTTCGCGATGACAATACTTGCCGATGTTGGAACACTATTTCTGTTTGGAGTGCTTGTGATAATATTATTATTAGTATTCGAATAAGCATTGGATACATTCGATTGAATAGTGGACAAAGGAACACTCGTTAATAGGGGAACGGAAATAGTTGATGTTGGTACATGAAATGAACGAGAATTAAGCGTTGGTCGATAATACTTCGTTGAATCTGATTGTTCTATAAACGATGATGACGTAGGTTGAAAAACGGTAAACCTCGTATGATTGGTCGTCATAGTTTTAGGTATTGGAATGGATGACATTTCTTGTTGTTGTGGTGATACTCGATTATTGTTGTTGTTGTTGTTGTTGTTGTTATTATTATTATTATTATTACTGTTAGGACAGTTTAATAGTTTATTTTCATTAGACCAATAATAGTTAGTTTCCTTTTTATCTAAGGTAATTTGTCTGTAAGGTGTATGAAAATATTGTGAATATGAATCTGTATTTAAACAAACGATTTCATCATGATATGTTACATTTTTTTCAGTTGATCGTACTGTTATTGGAAGATGTTGTGGTGTTTGATCTAAGATTGGTGTTGAAGGAGAAGAAATCAAAGGTGTTGTTAATGTTTGTTCAACTGACAGTTGATGTTGATATGCAGTTGAATTTCTGTTACTTTCTGATGTTGTATTCAACACGTTTTTTGTCAAACTTGATGGTCTTATATCATGCGTTGTAACACGCCTTTTTGATGTACAAGTTCCCATTAATTGGATACTAAGAATAAAAAGAAAACGAAAGTAGAGAAAAAGAGAGAACGGGATAGAGAGAGAGAGAGGGTTGAACAGTAGTTATACGTAGTAACTATGATCAAAAACAGCAATAATAAACAATAGATCGAGTATCAATCATTTTTACTTTTAAAAAAATGAATATTAAAGCGGAAATAGTTGCATGTCTTCTGAATAAAAGAAAGAAGAAATAAGATCAACGGCGAAACTACTTGAATATATTGGTTTGTGCATAACAAGTCTTTTAGTATTATGAAGAATTGTGCTTATAGTCAGTCGCAGTTTAAAATCTACTATTCATAACACTTGACACGCAATTTATGGTTATTTCAAAACTATCCTAGTTGATCTTATCATTTTACACATTGTATTTAGCAAAAATTTGGCTCATTAACATACTGTATCTACCGTAGTCCAAGAGATCAATTTCTTTTGCAATTCAAAGAGTTTGTAGAAGTCATTTCATAGCAGAGTACGTTTATATTTCCAAAAGAAATTTTCATCAAACTGACTTTGTGAAAACAAATACGATTTTCTTATAGTCATTTTCTACAGTTAAATCTGTTAAAATAAGAAAAATAATTATTTTGTTGTTTCATATATTCAATTGCTTTATTAACCATAATTATCGAACTTTTAAAGACTTACCTTTTAACAGTTTGATGGAATAAATAGAATATTTTTAGATCTCACATAAATTTCAAGGTATATTTTATATCTACAAGTACATATTGTTTTTTGATACGTATGCAGAAAATATATCGTCCTTCAACAAAAAAAAAAATATTGTATTCAAATAAATCCCAATCTTATTTATTCGTTAGTGAATGACTATAAAATTTGATTTATCTACGATTAAGAAGATGAACGTTTTAAAATGTTATTTTTCAATATTACTTATCCGATAATGAAAAGAAATCGATTTTAATTATAGTAAAATGTTTTAATTTTGTTTTATAAAATGACTTTTTGTCCTTTCGATTAAAATTCTCATCAAATGAAACCTTTTTTACTTAATATTAACTATATTTAACTTTTTCTAAACAATAATGAAAAGCGAACTATTGAATGAATACAAGTTTGTCATAAGAAAAGACAGTGTCGCATCATTTTATGAAGCATCTTAATAATAAGAAACGTATTCACAATAGATCGTTTATTGTCTATTTTAGTATTCAAAGTGATCATACATAGACACAAACAATCGATTCTCATGGTTTAACTCTTTCTATTCGCGGAGAAATCGCTTTAGTTGGCTCTACTGGTTTATGGAATAAAATAAACGCAATTTGTATATAGAAGAATATACTCTATTCTATACTATGATAGACAAACATGAATGGGATCAAAAATATATAATATATATATATATATACATATATTTGTAAAACACATACATATCCTGTTTAAATAAATCTTTTTGTTCGTTCTTTCATTCTTTTTTTCAAGATTCGATTATTGAACACTCTTTTTACCCATGAGGAAATATATAAGAGGATACTTATCAAAAGATTTTATAAGATTATGTAAACTTATTTTTTAACTGTGTATATGTATGTACAACATTAAAATCAAACATGGTTGATAACTGTCAATCTTATAATTATAAGACTATAAATATTTAAGATATGTGATTTCAAAAATATTTAATAGATCAGAGATTATCTTAAAATCAGAAAATCTCTTTTTTTGACAATTCAATTTAACGATATATATTACGTTAGTTTGAAATGATTCTAATATTTAAACTTGTTACCGTGTCTCTCATGTAGAAGAGTCAGTTCTCTACTAGAATGAAGCGAATCTACTTTGATTATGAAAAATTCAGTCTACTAAAATTGATTAGGCAGTAATAAAAAAAAAAAGAAAAAAAATCTCTTTTTTTTCTTTTATGAAGAAAATACATAGAAGTAATCTAATTGTATCATTCGTTTGAATCATACGTGGCCTTTTGTAGAGAATAATTACACATTTTCAAATTGCATTTTAAAAACTAAAAAGTTGCTTTACTCATCACTTGTTTTCTCATTTATTTCAATTTTATTCTCGTACATCAACATGAAACGTAAACTATGTATAAATAAAAACGTTTTGGACTACACGTTAAGAAAAACATTTTAAAAGAATTATATGTTTGAACTTTTAATTTTGAAATTATTCAATTTTTCACTTTAGAAAAGCATACAAATTACTTTTAAATACACTACTGGAAGGACTGTGAAAAAGTGCGGTTTTACTACTCAAGTTTGTATGTTTTCGTATTGAAAACTGAATTCTCCAAAGATGCCAAATTTTGTTAACATTCTTTTTTTTGAATAACATAGATTTAAAAAGTAAAATTTCTGCAGTAAAATAAGATATCATAGACTTCTGCATGATATTGTGTGCGAGAATAATACATGAAACTTTTTAAAGTTTACAAAGTCACAAGTGAAACATCTGTAAGAGAGAGAAAAACTGAGACAGTTGTATGTGTAGTTTTGTAATTTTAAGTCACAATGTTGAACACCAACAATAAGTCTTCCATTTATATTGGTCAAAATCGAATATATTGGAGAAAACAAAAATTACCTCTTGTGTTACCACCATGAACACATCACTAGACATTGATATAAATGACTGTATAAAAAATGTTGCCACGATTATATTAAGTTATCGTAAGTTTGTTTATAGTATAAAAATAGTAAAAATAGAACAAAAGATTTTTTATTATTTTATAAATACCATAAAAATCTATAAACTGTTATATTTATATGTACTATTTGTGGTGAAAGAAAAGAAAACACGAGGATATAAATTGACGATAGAAGACAAAACATAAGAAAGATAGAAAACAAAAACAAGCAAAAGTTTTTCTAAATGAGAAACAAAAAATAAAAAACAAAAAAAAAAATCTGCTTTTTTTAAAGCCATGTGTGTGAAATGACAGAAAAAAAAGAATCATAATAAGTAACGAATGTAATCCTGTTTCGAGTGTATCTCACGCGAACGATATTATTATCTATTCTCTATATTCCGGTATGATTCATATACCGCAAGTGAGAAAAAAAACATGAAAATTTTGACATTGTAATAACAATGGCAGTAAGAGAGCAACAAGAAGTAAAAGAAATGGAAACATTTTTATAATCTGATACCGACGCGTTTTTATTATATTATATTATCGAATAAAATAATCTCTTCTATAGATGATGATGATGATGATTATGATCACAAGTCAGTTGAATATTTTCGTTCTGCATATGTTGATTATTATGCAAACGAATGAGAAGATATACGGTGTCATATTTGATTCATTATATGTACCAGCAACACTATAGGGTGGATGTAAAATATGTCTATTTTTTGTCATATATTTATTATAAGATCAACTCTTTCAAACTTAGTTTAATACTAGAATATTTTGATTATGCGTCGTCAAGTAAATAGGAATACATGATAATGAATCTATAGAAAACATAGACTTCTAAATGTGTTTACGTAAGAACATAGATACTGTCATATGGTGCCTTATAAATTTGTAAAAACAAAAACGTATGGACCTATGTATTTTTTGCATATTCTATGTCAACTGTAAATTACATGACCTATTTTTTTTTCTTCTCTATAATATCTTGATTACCAAATAGTATGGTATAATAATTTGATAATATCTTACTGATAAGAATCAAATAAATTTCATCTCTTATCAACTACAGAGTGAAAACTGAGCATAGTTACTTCGATTGAATCAATCATTAACATAGAATACGTCCTTCAAACGTCCGTACTAGTTTTCTTATCGATTTTCTAGTGAAACAAGACAATAAATCTATAGCAATAGAACACAGTAACATCAAATCTATTGATTTTCACATGTAATATCATTAAAAAACCACTAACGCCACACACTCACTGGCAATCATTCAAAAAACGTATACGGAAAACCTTGTTCTATACATATAAATGATTATTTAGTACTATAATTAATTTTCATTTTCTTTCAGATTGCATTCTTTTATGATTGAGAAGCAGACAAACAATTTTCTCGTCTCGATGAAGTAGAATATGCCTGAAAATTGTGAAAAACTTTTTTAGAACACATTCTCACCATTTTCTTACAATATATCTTCAAAACATAATTAAAACGCTTTCTTCAAACTTATAATTCTTAAAATTTTCAGAGACTATTGATCCTTATGATAAAAGTCTTATTAACTCTATTTAGCTAAGAACTTTACTGTTTACTATTATCTATGTATAATTGTGCCATATATAAGAATGTAATTAAAATGAATAATTTCTGTCAATTATTTGAGTAAACTTACTTTTACCGTAGGAATATATAATATTGTTGTATTTTAGTTCGTTAAAGGAAACCCATCGTCCAGTTTCGAAAAAAAAACGTATTTGTGTATGTATATAGGTAAGATTTGTAAAAAATGCCATTGAGATATACATTTCCCGATATTAAGAACACAAACGGATGATAAGATTGAAGAAAAAAAAAAATGAAAACGATTGAAAGTATACAAATATGTGTGAACATTTCTTTTTTATTTTATTTATTGTACATCGTTTGGTACATGTCGATAGATGATTTTTGTGATGACGGTGCAGTGTTCAATTTCGTTAAAGTAAATTATGTTCACCATAAAGACGGACAATCACAACAACAAAGAAGAAAAAGGCGATGAAAATTTTTACGATAAAATAAAATTGAAATCTAAAATACACAGTAATGTAATGAAGACATGATCTTTCAAGGAGTACATGTAATACAATAGAGAAATCCCACAATAAGATTTCTTTATGAATAACAAAAAATAGAGAGAGAAAATTTATCGTTTGATGATAGATAGATCAATTTACAACAATTTAAGACAGTACGATTCTATGCAAGATTAGGGTCATCTCTGTAACTTATGAATTATGATAGCTACTTGTTTGACACTTTGTGTAGTTATAAAGCACCTATTAAATGCTAAATGCAAAAGGTTTTAGTTTTTCTAACCGCATCGGTTTTAAGATATCACATTTCCATTTTTTGACACTAAAACCCAAGCGGGAATGCTTCTTTCTTAGCATCGTAAAGCATCGCATCAACATCGGAGAGCATCTCTCTGCATCGGATGCTGAGCATTTCAAGCTTCGGAGAGCATTGCTCAGCATCGGAGAGCATCTCTCTGCATCGGATGCTGAGCATTTCAAGCTTCGGAAAGCATTTCAACGGCTACAGAAAGCTCCCGAAGCCGCCGTTTATCCCTTGCAAAAATCTAAATAGTTTTTAGGCTAAACGATACCATCAATTTATTGTTCGCTAAAAATGTGGCGATGGTTCTCCTATATTTATGATATCAATTTCATTTGACACTTAACTCCTCTAGAAATACGTTCATTTTAGTATGATAGATGTACACATTGTTATTTTGGATTTTGACGATAAAAAAATTCGTAGCTGAGTGAAGAAACATTATTTTGACCTAAAACTGTTAGAAAATATTCTTTAGTATTTATAGATCATTTATACAACTTTCAAGATTAATCAGAGTATACAGGTCAGAAGATCCATTGAAAATGGTTGAACACCAATGAAATATACAAAGAGAGACGAGATGGACGAACTTAAAGAATTATACTTATACCATAAAATGCGACTTAATATACAACGTAATTATTTAAAAATATAAAGGTAGAATATCTGGCGAAAAAAATTAGCAGAATTAACCGAGGTCACTGGATTTTAGTTCTGATTTGTACTTTACATTGCCTTTTGTCCTATTAGAAATAAAAGCACTGTAACTTTATGTAAAAATGATATATTTTCCTTAAAATTTTAAGGATTTGCAAGGATTTCTTGTACTGTGAGTCAAACATTTGAAAGTCAAATGCTATTCTCCATGTTATATATTCAAATAGTCATGCATATGAAAACGTGTACTGTCACTTTTATAGAAGTGGCTACAACCTGTAGCACATACCTAATATTTTGACACTGGATGCGTTACATATTCAATAAATGATATTAATTTTTTTCTACATTTATTGTTCATTTTCTCTATTAAAAAGACAGGTAACGAAAACTAAAAAAAATTTCCAGTGAAAGATACTGAAAGCGTAGATTTTTATGCATGTTTAAAAAGCAGACGTGCTATATAAATAAGCCATATTCACATCCTAGTGGTGACGCTGTGTGTTGGCCGTATGACTGCATGTATTGTATAGACAGAATGCAAGAAAACAGTGTCTATATGTAGCGACCTCATCAGGATGTGAATATGTCTCATTATTTAAAGAGGAAATTGTCTTTGATGATATTGGCATCTTACGTCGCTGTGCGTGATTTGCTCTCAAATGGTTCACTTATGAATAATCGATGTTAAAAAAAGAAGAGAGAGCGACTTCTTCTCCTGTGCTAATATAACCTCTTAGCATTGAACTTCTAAGATAGAGAAACTAAATAATAAAATCACATCAAAAATAAATAAACCACTGTCAATAATTTTGTGATCTCTTGTACTTCATTGCCGTTTAATTCTTTATTCTCTCCTTACTATTGAGTACTTATATATTAGCTGGTGTAAATAAATATATGGGTGATGCAACGACACATATTTCGAAGATGCATATTGCTTAGAAGTAGGAACTTGATGTCTGTAAATTACGAAATTATTACATGAGCTTTTTTTGCACTATTTAAGTATTATAGAATGCCTGTTTTTATCTATAAAATGCTAATCATTTTGCTTATAATGATATGTTTTTATAGAATAAATGAATGTTTAGCCCCTACTATAGTTCTTATTATATGATATTTATTCACCTAACTATTTTTTTAGTAGTATTTTATTCATTGCCTTACCCATTGAAACTTTCGGAATAATGTGAACTAATTTAAAAAAGTCTCATATTAAACTAGTTCGTATTAATTTTTTTCTGATTAAAAATCAATTTAAATTGATTTAACTTGATAAACTAATTCAAACTGGTTAAAATTAAATTGATTTGAATTAGTTTATTAAGTTAAATCAATTTAAATTGATTTTTAATCAGAAAAAAATTAATACGAACTAGTTTAATATGAGACTTTTTCACATTAGTTCACATTATTTTCCAAAAGTTCCACTGAGTAGTGCAATATTTTGTGCAAGGATTGAAGGCTTTCAGAACCTGGCATGAAAAAACATTGTTATCGATTACATCTTGATTATACTATTTTATTATTGTTGTAATCGGTCTTTTTTTGATAAATCATTTTTAATTCTACATAATTATTCACAACGATCTTATCAAGAAGGTTTGGCCAAGTTTTAGTCCAACCTGTATCAAAAGTTTTTGATTTAACAACACGCTCATTTTCTACGTCGTCGACAGTATGTTGTTCTATATAATTAATTAAACAGTAGTAACTATAATCTTAAAATATTATTTAGTTACACAAATCATTCCAAAAGATTCAGCGAGCACTCATGGGTGAATCGGAAAAGAAATCAACTTTATCTGAGGTATGCCATAAAAATGATAAAATGTATTTAAAATTGATAACAATAAAATGAATGAATATTTTCTTCGTAGCTGAAACCTCCACCCGATTATATTGAACATCGTATTAAGTTATGGGATGAATTAAAAGCCAAACGTCAAGTATTTCTTGAATCCCAAAAGCAAGAAGAGATAACGGTTACGTTACCTGATGGAAAAACGATGCCGGCAATATCTTGGAAAACAACGCCACTTGATATAGCACAATCAATAAGGTTAAAAAAAACAAATTAAAATAAAAATTAAACCAACATGAATTAATTTCTAATTCTAGTCAAGGATTGGCAAATGCAACTGTTATTTCAAAAATTGATGGTAAATTATGGGATTTGGAAAGACCATTGGAAAATAACTGTAAACTTGAATTACTTAAGTTTGATGATGACGAAGGTATTCTATAAAGCAAAATAGATTTTTCTTGCAGTATTGTCTTGATGTTCTTTTCAAAAGGAAAACAAGTGTTTTGGCATTCAACAGCTCATATAATGGGCGAAGCGATGGAATTATGTTATGGTGGATGTTTATGTTATGGTCCACCTATAGACCAAGGTTTCTATTATGATATGTTTTTAGAAAACAGGTATGCTCAAATAGGATTAGAATACTCAACCAATGGAATCTTAGAGCCATTCTAATAAAAGAATTATTTCATTGTGACAAATTTCTCCCACATTCACGTCTTTTTTCTCGTTCGATTTCAACTGCACTGAATTGAAGAACTACTGAGTCTTGTCATTTTATTTTTTTTTATTTTTAGACAAATAGCTGGTTCTGATCTTGAAGTAATAGAGAATGTAATGAAACGCATAGTGAAAGAAGGACAACGGTTTGAAAGATTAGAAATAACTAAAGAAGATTTATTAAAAATGTTTGATGTATGAATAATCTCCTAAATCATATTTTATCATATCAAAATATTGTTTTATTTTTAGTACAATCCATTTAAAGTTCGAATTTTAAACGAAAAAGTTAACACACCAACGACAACTGTTTACAGGTACTACAACAGTCTTATTTCTATATATAATTAGCACAAATTTCTTTCATGTTTAGATGTGGTCCACTGATTGACCTTTGTCTTGGACCACATATTCCACATACGGGTAAAGTGAAAGCATTTGCTGTTACAAAGGTATACTTGTTTACATATTTTCTCCCCCAGCACTGTATAATCGGTTTATCGTCTTTTTAAGAATTCCAGCTCGTATTGGGAAGGTGATAATACTCGTGAAACGTTACAGCGAGTGTATGGCATATCTTTTCCCGATGTAAAACAATTGAAAGAATGGAAACATTTACAAGAAGAAGCAGAAAAACGAAATCATCGAAAAATTGGTGTTGAACAGGATTTATTCTTTTTTCATTCATTGAGTCCAGGCAGTTGCTTTTTTTATCCAAAGGGTGCTCATATTTATAACAAGCTCATTGAATTAATTAGGGTAAGCAAACTTCGAATAATATTTGTTATATATTTATTTATATTTTGTTTCTTCAAGGGTGAATATCGTAAACGTGGTTATCAAGAGGTTATAACACCGAACATGTACAATTCTAAACTATGGAAACAATCCGGTCATTGGGATCATTATGCGGTATATCTGTTTTCTATACACTTTTTTTTTGTCTATTATTTTATTTCTTTTTCGTTTAGGAAAATATGTTTCAAACAGAAATTGAAAAGGAATTATTTGCTCTGAAACCAATGAATTGTCCTGGCCATTGGTATGTTTGAGAATAACCCGTATACAATCGACGTTTGTCTAAAATATTGAAATGATCTACGATATAGAGTGACCTTTTCCATTCAATCTTGATGCTTGATATGTTAGTACACAATTAGCTATCTTTCAAAAGTCATGACACCCCCAGGTCGAACTACTTTCAGACAAAGATGTCGAATATCGTTCTTTTCATGATCTCTCGTTCATGGATACAGCAGTTACATGGCTTGGATGAGTGTACCCATCCGAGATTTTAATCATGGGTAATACACGAGCCTATTCGAAAAAAAATCTAGATCTCTCACTGGTGCTGTTATGGAAAATTTTTAGGCGGGCTCCTTTAAAAAAATATGTTTCTGTCGAGCTAACATCCCATAAGTGGAAAGTTTTCAATTTAATTCGTCATTTCAACATGAAAAGATGATTTTGTTGTTATTAGATATTTTTTTTATATCTAGTTTGATGTTTGCATCTCGTTTACGTTCTTGGCGTGAACTGCCATTAAGATTTGCTGATTTTGGTGTGTTACATCGTAACGAACTATCAGGTGCATTAAGTGGCTTAACGCGTGTTAGAAGATTTCAACAAGATGATGGACATATATTTTGTATGCAATCTCAGGTACGATTTTTTTTTCGAATTGTGTAACTAGTTATATTTTCATATCTAAACTCCGAATATAATGAGGCTTTAATTACCAGTAGAAATACTAAAGTCGGAAACGAACTGCGTGGAAGAATCTATAAGCATCTTTTCTCTACAATATCTCTGAAAATAATTTAATATTTTCAGAGGCAAACAATGTGACGTTGTCGAACGTGACGATTTTTTAATTTTATTCTTCGTTTTAGATAAAAAGCGAAATTGAAAGTTGTTTAGAATTTTTAAAACATATCTATGGTATATTTGGATTTTCATTCGAACTGAAATTGTCCACGAGACCAGACAGCTTTCTTGGCGAAGTAGAAACATGGAATGCTGCTGAAAAGCAATTAGAATTGGCACTGAATTCATTTGGTTATCCATGGAAATTAAATCCCGGTGATGGTGCATTCTATGGACCAAAAATTGATATTACAATTAAAGATGCACTTCAACGTTCTTATCAATGTGCAACAATTCAACTCGATTTCCAATTACCATTGAGATTTGAATTACAATATCAAACGTATGCATTTGAGACACTGCTATATTCAAAGCAGGGTGACGTTTTCTCTTTTTTGTTGCAGTGATGACGATACGGACGATCCCACAAAAAAGCTGAACACACCTGTCATTATTCATCGAGCAATGCTCGGCTCTATCGAGCGAATGTTGGCAATATTAACGGAGTCTTTTGGTGGCAAATGGTATGTTTGTGAATTTTGTCGCCGGTATTTTATGCTATGTTTTTCTTTTAAGGCCATTTTGGCTATCACCCAGACAAGCTGCTATAGTGCCTGTGGTGTCCGCTTTGGATGAATATGCCATGGAAGTTCAACGAAAACTATGGGACGCTGGATTTCAGGTTGAAGCGGATCTGGATCCAGGAAGCACATTAAATAAGAAAATTCGTAATAATCAGTTGGCACAGTTTAACTTCATTCTGGGTAAGTTTGTTTTGCTCTCTTAAGAAAGTCTCAGATCTGTTCTCTTTCCAGTGGTAGGTCAACAAGAAAAAGCAAACGGTACGGTGAACGTTCGCACACGTGATGGCAAACAACATGGTGAATGTTCCGTGGATGATGTTATTAGACGTTTTGCTGAATTTACGATATCTCGTACTAATCATGCCGAAGATGATTTCTCGTCAAATTCTTCTGCAACCGCATCAAAAGGTGCTACAACAGTGTCAGAAGATCACCATGATGAAAAACAGTCTTGATGCCAAGTTAAAGCAACACTTGAAAGTTTAGGCGTTTTCGTTGAACGATTTGTTATTATTGGTTTTTTTCTTTTTGAATTTTGTTTATCTTTTATTGTTTTGAGGGCGTTTTTTTGTGTATTTCTGGTTGTTTGGTTTGTCACTCAAATACACCTCACCGTTTTATATATATCGCGTAATATTTTCTGTTGATAATAATAAAAGAATGACAGTATATATATATATGAACGTCTTGTTGTTCTATCGACCGTATTATAATCCAGAGATATCTGCTTTTGTTGAAAACCTATGCATTATTAGATAAAATGGCACTCTCCCTCTAAATTGAATTAATTTCTAGTCACGCCTTTTTTTGCATGTTTCCTTAAAATAATAATAGACTGATGAAGCTATTTATTTAATTTACAAAACTTCGATGTTTGTTTTTTACATCTACAGGGTATCCTAAAGGTCATTCCTCAATAAAAATGTTTAATAACTCCGTCATTCTTTAACCAAACTTCAAAATTGTTTTCGTTTTCTTTGATAGAGAAATGTTCCAGGTTTGATTTCATAGAATTGGACATTGTGTAAAATAAGACCAGTGTGGAAAAACAATAAAACTTACAACATATTTTTTCTGTGTAAGCACTTATAATAGTGCGTAACGATTGTTAAGCTTGTCGTAATTGAATAGAATCTTTGTCAGAGTTGTAGTACATCTCATTTCGTAAAAGTCGGGTTGCTCTACAATTCCGTATATTCAAATGTTTTGTTCAACTCAAAGTTTTGCCACAAGAAATTTATTTTTCCATATTAGCATGATCTACGAATTCCGTCTACTGCAATAGCCTGATACCACTTTTTACAGACTTTCAAACTATTCCAATTTATAGAGCTACCTTCTTTGTATGAAATTTCACTAGTAGTTTTTCCTTTCATTAGTGCAGTTTATCTGAGAAAAATTGTTATTACTTTTTTGCACTTTCTCGGATGCTAGTATGAAACAGCAGTGACTAGAAAAATCCACACCATCCGATCATTTTTACGCAAAAGCAAATGATTATTTCGTTATGTGGAATCAGACATCATCTACTTTATTTTAATATTAAAAACTATTTATGTTCCTTTTAAAAGGTTTTGTAGTACGTAATTTATTAAAACAAAGTTCCAAAATATCTGACTTTCACTATAATAAACTCAAACATTTTTTCAAGTATTAACAAGAATTTTCATTGGTATGAAATAAAACATGGAATGCTTCTCTATAAAACAAAAAAAACAATCTTGAAGTTTTGTTAAGGAATTACGGAGTTGTTAAACATTTTTATGGGGAAGTGACTTTTAGGACATCTTCCCCCGACACATCCACTTCGATACTTCGTGTCGAAGGTGAGGTATATGTTTGGAAAGATATGGATTGAATAAACGCTTCGAAAATATGCGGGCATAGAAAACCCAGTTGAAATACATAAATAAAAAATTTAGGGACTATCAGCATCTGACTGTTTGAATACATATAACTAAAAACCATAAGAAATCTATATGGTGGTCTAAGCCAGTCAGAGAATAATAGAGCATTTGCAATCAATCCTTACCTAACCTAGATGGTAACCTAAACTCGTCAGAAAATAATAGAGAATTCGCAAGCATAGCATATACATCAAAACGCATTATAATCATCCATTGCATACCGAAATGAATTCCCCGGGAATACGAATTCATTTTTTAAAAAATTAAGTGTGTATTTTTCCAAGCTAGGGTACCGATCTAAGGAAATAGGGCAAATGAGCATTAAAGGAAATAAAGGAAATAAGAAAATAAGGATCTAAGGAAATAGGGGAATCAATGATTAAAGGAATTCAGTCCGGGTCCAATCTAGAGTTTTAATCTCTCATGCTAGCATATCGCCGCCCCGTCCAGGAGCTGTAAAAATAACTGACAATAATTCGTAATAACAACTAATGTTATAAATTCAAAGTGTTATTTAACACGCATCTATTTTCTTACTATCCATATTCCCTTATTTCACCTATTTTGTTAAATCTCTATTTTCTTATTTCCCCTATTTTTAATCTCATTCTTTATTCCCCATATAACAACATGTACAATAACATATCGTTATCTGCTGGGCGTTGCATTATCTAGATAATGATACTTGGTCATCTATGGCTTAAAAGTATTTTATTAGGAAATGAGGATACGAGTGTTTCAAAGACCGGTTGAGCAAGACGCACCTTTCTTGATTTGTCTTACCTTACCTAATCTGCCTGACAGTGTTAGGTAACGTGTGGAAATTCATTCCAACCTTACCTGGGCTAATAGTGCTAGCTAAAGTATACAGATTCATTTGAATTTCCTGACCTTATCACACGTTAACTAACCAAAGTGTTGGGTGAGCTCTAAATCTGAGCGAAAATTTTTTTCATAAAATTTTACTTTATACTTGTACATTTTGAATTTCCACGAAATAGGAACGTGCCATACTATGAAGTAAGAAGTATAATTGAGATATCTGGTTCAAATTTTGACTTGTTCAGTTTTTACTGTGGTATCCTAGGGAACTCATCACAACTATATTATCAATAGGAAAACTATCATTAGTTCTTTTCCCACATTTGTAATGATAAACTCAGTTTGTGATATCTGCACTAGTTCAGGGCAATGTTGTTCTATTTTCCTTCAACTCACAGTTCTACTCACCTCAACTCACTTCACCTGTGATAATTGGAAGCACAGTTATTCTTGATCATCTGACGTTACTATTTTTCTGTTTGTTTAGAACCTCTAAACATCTAAATGCTTGATAAGTATTAGTGTCGATGACTAAAGCAGAACAAGCATTAATGCTAATCATAACTTAAAAGCATATGGTATTGCAACAGGATACTTCTGTTTGTAAGTTCGTTGTTTTTATTTTAATTTGTTGATATTTTTCTATTTTTGTTGTTTCGGATTTGCCACTTACTCACACATAACACACTTTTTCTTTTGTCTCTGCTATTCTGTTTTTCGTTGATTAGATAAAAAAATGATGAAATACAAGAAAACTGGACTTTTTAATAGAATAAGAGAAAGGAAAAGTGAGAATGAATTATACCTTAGAAAAGGGTTGGGTTTTATAGTCGAGCTAACGATTTTTATTGCACTCAAGAAATACTGACGACTATTTGAAAGCTGAAGATGAGCAGACTACTTTTCGAGTTCGTGTTTTAGATTACGCTTATAAGTCGACAAATGTAAGATGACCAATATGACAGACAAGTAATAGTCATCAACGATTATCAGTTATTATATATATATATTATCTACTTGTGATTCAAAGTTTTTTCGAACATTACGACTATTATCATTTCGTATTGATAATATTCTTAACTGTAAGAGTTCGATTTGTTTTATGTTTCTTCATTTGTGGTTGTACTGGCTGATTTACTTTTACACCTGTTTTACCCTTGATAACTCTTGATTTACCCTGATTTTGTTTTGAATTGCGGGATCGACGACGCGTTTGTTGTTGCTGATGAACTTGTTGACCATCGTTTAAATTCATAGAAGCTACTTGCGTTTTATTTTTATCCCAACGTTGCAACTGTTTCACGTCGTCTATTGGATGTGGTAAGGATAAAGATCGAGTTATTCCTTGGTGTAATGTTAGATCATTTTTTTTTTGAAAAATATTTTTAAAAGATTTGTTTTCACGCACTAAATGATTATGACCCTCTTGTTCATCATCGTGATGATGATGATCATGTTGATGGTTGCGTGCATTTTTCTTATTGAGAGCATTGTTTATAGCAAAATCGAACGCTAAATAAATTGTTAAAACTGTAATGGCTGATAATATGGATGCCAGTATTTGTGTTATACGTCGCATTGTTACATATTTAACCATCAAGAAAGAATTTACTATGATTTATTCCACAATTGCTCTCTCGATAATATAATTTTCTCGGAGTCCTTAGTTTGTTTCGTATTATGTAAGAAATTATAGATGAACATTTCAATTAAACATACCAATATTCAAATCTAAATAAAGAACAAAAGTTTAATTGTTAAAACTGTCCTCTTTCAATAATATTTCGTTCATTTCTGATACTTCACCCATTCAGTAATATCTTTTTCTATTATAGCACCGATTTCTCGAAAATTTAACAAGCAATAGATGAAAGTGCAAATAAACCGATTGTGCAATATAAAACATACATGAGAATGGGAAAAAAAAACACTTTAGTGAATGATGGAAAACTTCTTCGATGTGTATTAATTTATTTTTTTAGTAGGCTTATCTCGCATCGATTTTTCTTTCTTCCACAAATTCTATCAATGTATACATATTATTCAGTAGTTTTCTCTTTATTAACCCTATCTTTCGTTGTTAATGAACAGAACGAAGCGAGAAAACAATATGATAGCTCTTATTTTTCATTCGAGAAATCGTTAGAATCAGCTCAACTTTTATTTCTGATAATGTATCCGACACGATCAATTATAGTCTGTTGTTGATTAAGACTGTATATAACTAGAAAATCATGTCCACTTCTATTGACTAAATTGGAATTTTTGAATATAACAAAGTAGAAATTTCTATCTCTATGATAAAAACGTAAAAAAATTTGTTATAAATTATCAATTAACGTTTTTTAATAATGTAAGTTTTTTGTTTTTTAAAAATATTCGTAGTTTTAGTTTAGAAAAAAAGACAACGACATTTTATACATACATTATCAGAAACGTGTTGATGTGTATAATATAAGATACATACGCAATGGTGCTCAATTTTTTTTCTCTCTCACATGTTAATAGGCATAAATATACATTTTTTTCATATAGTCGTGTCAAACCTGTGAATTTCAAACTCAATTTTCTCTTTCGTTCGTTCCTCCGATCTTATTCTTTCTTACTTTCTTCTCTTATTATAACACAAAGAAAAGAAAAGAAAAGTTTATAAATAGAAATTATAAATGATTCTTTTTGTCCGTTAACAAAATATGAGCCGACATACTTGTGCCAAAAAAAACAAAATTCAGAACTTATATACATAAGTTGTATGTACATATACAGTATACTGTATTTCTAGACAAAACTTTATAAATACAGAGTGATAATGAGGCAGGTGTTCAAAAAAACAGTTAACCATAACTTTATAAACTCTTTCAATTACACCTATATTAACATATTGTCCTTCCATCAGCAGTGTTATAATCCAGGAATATCTGCTTTGTTGAAGATCTATTCGTTGTTAGACGCTCCCTCTAAACTGAATTAATTTTCAGTCACGCCTTTTTCATGTTTCCTTCACGCATGTAACTAAACGAGATGCAAACATGAAACTAGGTATAAAAAAGGTCAAATAATAACAAAATCATCTTTCATATCGAAATGACGAATTAAGCTGAACAAATAGAACAAATATTTTTGGCAAGCAGTACAAGTTGATTACAGGGATTACGGCTCCGTATACACCAAACTGGATTTGAAAACTTCTGAAACCATCAACTCAAACACTTTCAGTAATGATGATGTGTAAAAATGTACAGAGAGCTGTAACGAGAGATGTTATTTCTTTATGAAATTTGTACCTATAAATGAACGTCATAAACGAACAAACAAATGCGGACACTAACTGACAAGGAAAGGACATGAAAAACTTTTAAAAAACACTAGAGAAGAATGACAAATATAGTTATTTCAATTTTCTTTTACCATTCCGATTGAAAGTATACACCGATGGATAGAGCTCGATCAATGATCACAAAAACGTCAGTTCTACTCCAAAATTCCATTTTATCACTGTATCACAGTGTCATCTATCGCAATATTGCGTTTGTTCTAATATTTTTGTAATGATCCACACCCTGTTCCTGTTATACTCCACATATTGATTCACCTATCGGTTGCTACTTCGAGTGAAAGAGTCAGCACTTGATAACCAAGGACCGATAACCAGTAACAAGATGGCTGTTCTGTCATTCATGATCAACATTTACAGGTTTTTACAACAATTTAGGCCTAACCATACATGAACTGCATCACAGTTCTCTTCATCCGAATTTCAGAGCATATGCATACATCATATACTAAATGCTCATCATTACCGTAAGTTATCCTTTTCCTGATCATTGATCCACAGCAGTCATTCAACTACCGAAATCCTCGAAACTCTTTCAGTGTGAACAACATTCCATCTTTAACAATTACAAAACTTCTCATTCACAATTATTCTAATATGTCCAAATAAACGTCAGAAGAGAAAGTGAAACTTTCTTCAAACTGACAACCAGTACCGTTCAAAGCATACTTAAATAACCTTTCGATGTAATTAACAAATTCAACGGCAGAGCGATAATAAACGAGTTCGCATCACTTTCTGACTCAAGATAAGCTAGCTACACTGACACTATAAAATGACAAGTGATTGTGATTGTCTTAGATCGACCGAAGTTATAATAATAGTCGTCTACTAAATGGCAGAAACGAGAGCCAATTAAAAATTTGAGCACTCATTCTCTCTGCCATGTTGAGGTGTATGTCCGCTTTGATTGGGTGTATGAAATTAGCTTTTTCAGCCAAATAAAAGATCGAAGAGTCAACGACCGTTAAAAAGAGCATTTCACTTAGTGGTGGCTACAGTTTAGAAGGGTTTCCAGAGTTCCTTCATGTCGATTCCCCTCTTCGAAACTCTGAAGATATTTTCAACATCACTCTGCGCTCTGAGACTGAATGACGCTTTATTAAGCTATAGGAGTAAGTGATCACTGATTGAAATCGTCGGTCTGCTATGATGAATCATCTGATTAGAAGTACTCGGACAATCGACAATCATATGAGCTGTCTCTCCGGTAGACTTTCGTCTCATTATCCCTGTTTGATATCCGATGTTCATTTGTTTAGGTTTCTCGACTAAATGGCATGTGCTTTCGTATTCTTTTTATTTCTTGTACTTTCAATTCAAATGTTACACTCAATGAAACATTTACAGTGACTATGCGTGCATTGACGAGATTCTGAAACGTGTGCATCATGCCAATATTATTGACATTATCAGCATTATTCGATAGT